CATAGAAGCCTTCTATGACTTTTCTTGCTTAAATATGTCATAACTGATATCTATTGTGGATTTTGACTGACCACTGGGGACACTCTGTTCAGAGGTAGCTTGGCACAATCAATTAACCAATAGATACTTTGTGATGACACCAAGGTCTGGTGTGAATATGCTTGCACCAACACAAGTGTCCAGTGTGCCAACTGAGTGATTGAATGATCCCTGGACTGCAGTGGATGACTGCCTTTGGTTTCTGATGATCAAGAGAGCCAGACCACAGTATGAACCCCCTTTGGTGTCAATCATTATCCAGCCACAGTTAATACCACCTTTGGATGATGTCAATGAGTGGTGATACAACACATGCACTACAATAGAAGCAATGCTATGTGATTGCAACTTGTTGATGGAATACTAAGTATACTTGTTGTAAAGTGATAGCTAGTAATGTATGGTGTAGAGTGGAGGAAGATCCACTCAATTGCTAGGACAAGGAGCATGGTTATATAGCCACTCCTGCAATGTCACCTGTGACACTGCTCCTGCTCTGAGAGGTCTCTTCAACACCACTCCTCCTCCTTGCCCTTCCTATCCTTTCCATCCACCCTGTGATGCTGCTTGTTGGCACTGCTTCCCTTGCCTCATGCAGATGGATGGTCCTCACACTGCTTCATCATTGACAGGGGCCATTCCCACTTCATCTGGGTGGTGACTCACCTCCCTCACTCATCTCACCCACCCTCCTGTTCTGAGTTCATCTTTGGGTCAGCCCCCTGCTTCATCAGGGTGGTGGACCCAATGCCTATGATGTCTTGTCCTGCTGTGAGGCTTGTGAGAATCAGTGTCCTCTTGCCAGCTATGTCAAGATCTATCCTATGACCAAGATACTACCAATTCCAGCAGGATTCATGATACAATCCTGCTTGTGCTGATTTGGGCAAGATCTGTCATAGAGATTCTCTACTACTGATCTCAATGAACTCTGCCATAACCCTTATTTTGCCTGATCCTGCAATTCCTGCACTCCTCCTCATATGACATCCATTCTTCCTGCTTCTGCACATCTGGCCCTATGATACCTAGCTCATGACTTGACTGCTAGTAGTGAATGCTTGGGCAGTTTTGGCGCTATCAGTCCTATGGCTTGATTTCATGGTCATATCGTCTTGTTGTTTGAATAGGGCTGTGCAAACTACCTCATAGTCTGTTGCTCGGCTGTTGTCTTGAAGGCTAGTGATGCAGTTGTGGTATGCTGACACAAGCCTGGCCTGGTCAGTGTGAGTCTTGATCTTGAGCACTCGTGTCAGGTTGTGCCCCATAGACTCAGCTTTGGTCCAATGTTCGTTGATATCGGAGACGATTGCCAGGGGTCACGTGCCAGAAATCCAAAATCTCTGGAAGAGCTTGTTCTGGAAAATGTCAGTGAGATGTGTCAAGTGAGTTCCTTCTGACCAATCTTGGTGAATTGTGTCAAGTGACTGTTTCCAACAGATTTCGGTTGACCACTGTGAACACTCCATTCAGAGGTAGCACAGCATGTTTGGAGTTATTGGATACTTGAGTTGATATGTGGTATGGCTATACCAGATGTATGGTATGTCTATGCCTGTCTTGGCACAAGTGTTTGTGATGCATTGACAGTTGTATGATGGTACTGGTTGAAGTGCCAGTACCACAATGGTGGTGCTGCCTACAGTTGAGGCTCTGTAGCATCGATTGAGGTGCCAACAACATCTAGAAATGGTGATACAACACACATGCGTGGAGTAGTTGCAATGCCCTGCAATTGCAACTGATGACAATATTGAAAGAGATGGTAGAACTGATACTGAGCATATAGTAAAGTAAGTAGATAGTAAGATAAAGTGTAGAGTGGATGAGCCTCGCTCTTCTCCTGGAAGTGTAAGCACTTCCTGACTTGCTCCTTCTTCTGAACAGTGTCAACCCCTTCGACACTGCTCCTCTTCCTCCTGAACTGTGTGTTGGTTACTTCAACACTGCTCCTCCTCCTTTTAAATGATGTGTTGGTCTCCTGGACATGATTCTCCTTCCCCTTGTCTTGTGAATGCTCTTGACCTTTGTCATGGGCCTGGATGCGCAAGAAGTAAGAAGATCTGTCAACTCATATGAAGGGAGTGCAGGAATCACAGAATTGGGTAGATCATAGGATTTGCAGCAGAGTTCATTGAGATCTGTAGTAGAAACAGTTCTATGACAGATCCCACCAAGATCAGCACAAGCAAGGATAGTATCACAAATTCCGCTGAGATCAGTAGTAGAAAAGATCATATAGCAGATTCCACAGAGATCAGTGGCAAAGATGATTGTACAACAAACTCACATGCAAGGAGGACCAAGCTCTGCCAAGATGGGGACCAAGCTCAGAAGCATGCAGCTGGTTACCACTCAGGGATTCACAAGACAGGAATCAGGAGAACAGTTGCTGGTTAGGAGGAAGGAGAGCTGTGTCAACGACACCGGCATATAGGTCATGAGGAGGAAGATGTCATAGGCCTGGGTGCGCAGAGCGAAGGAAGACCGAAGTTCATATGAAGGTAGTGCAGGAATTGAGGAATTGGGCAGATCGTGGGATTTCCAGAAGAATTCAGCAAGATCAGTAATAGACATGGTTCTATGACAGATCTCATCGAATCCTGCATGAACAAAGTTGTTATCATGATTTCTGCTGAAATCTGTAGCAAGCATGATCATATGGCAGATTCTGTGGAGATTAGTGTCAAGGATGTCCATATGATGATCTGCATGCAGGCCGGGGCTAAGCTCACATACAGAGGGCACCAAGCTCCACCAGGCTGAGAACCAAGCCTTGCCAAGAGGGGGACTGAGCTCAGCAGCATGCAATCAGTTACCACTCAGGGGCACACAAGATAAGGGTAAAGGAGGACCATTGCCAGTCAAAGGAAGGAGAGTGGTGTAAAGGACACCAGTGAGAAGGACATGAGGAGGAGGAGCAGTGCCGATGGAGTCGACACAGCTCAGGAAGGACAAATGGGATAGCTCAAGGAGGAGGAGGAGTCTCATTGAAGACTCCTGTATAGTACTCAATGCAGAAGGTACTCTCTGGAGAGAGAGCAGGAGCAGTGTTGCTGGCAATGCTGCAAAGAGGTATAAAACCATACCTTCTCATCACAAATGGTCAAGTGGATCCCCATCCACTCTACACACCATAACTAGTATTATTTCAGAAGCATAAGTACTCATTAGTTCAGTCAGCATAGTAGTAATCGATAGATTGCTCCTCCTTGTAGTGTGTGTGTTGTGGCACTGCTCACTGACATCTGAAGGCAGTTCATAGCAGACCAGCAGTCTGGATTAAGATAGAACCGAAGGCAGTCATCCACTGCAGTCCAGGGATCACCTCAAGCGATAGTTGACACACTGGACACTTGTGTTGACACCACCAACCTCATCATCAACAATATACTCACACCAGACCTTGGTGTCATCATAAGTTCACATCATTATTGATTGTGCCGAGCTACCTCTGGACAGAGTGTCCACAGCAGTTAGTCGAGACCTGCAATAGCAAAGCTCATACTACAGTTCCAAGCAAGAAAGTGATAGAGACAACTCTATTACATATTTCACTGAGAACTGTAGTACCACTAGTATTGTTGCATAACTCGACAGAATCGGTAATAGTATCGACACTACTACCGAACTCAGGTTTCAGGCGCGTGACCGCTGACAGAAGAGCTGTGTCGAAGAGGTTGACACACAGCTCAAGAAGGACAGAAGCAATGTTACAGGGACTCCTGTACAGTACTTGATGAAGAGGGTACTCTCTGGAGAGAGAGCCAGAGCAGTGTTGCAGGCAACACTGCAAAGATGTATATAATCATACCTTCTCATCATAGGTGGACAAGTGGATCTCCATCCACTCTACACCATACATAACTAGTTATCACTTCAGCATAAGTATACATTAGTTTTAGTCAGCACAGTTGCAATCAAGTAGATTGCTTCCATTGTAGTGCATGTGTTGTATCACTGCTCACTGACATCCAAAGGTGGTTCCTAGCAAACCTGTGGTCCAGATAAAAGATAGAACTGAAGGCAGTCATCCACTGTGGTCTGGAGATCACCTCAAACATACAGTCAACACACTGGACACTCATGTTGGCACCACCAATCACATCTCTCACACCAGACCTTGGTGTCAGTACCAGTTCATATCAGTTATTGATCATGCTGAGCTACCTCTGGACAGAGTGTCCACAGCAGTTAGTTGAAACCTGCAATAGCAAAGCCATTACTGCATCTTCAAGCAAGAAAAGTGATAGCAATGCCTCTACTACATATCTCACCAAGAATTGTAATACCACAAGCATTGCCACATATCTCGATGGAATTTGTAATAGACATGGGTCTATTACAGATATCAGGTTTTGGGCATGCAACTGCTGACAACCTTGTGGACACTTCTATTGTCCACCTCCTGACCTTGCCAACACTTCCATTGTCCACTCCTGACCTAAGTGCTACCATCTCTCTGTGTGGTAACCTTACTGCATGCTCCTATGCTTGGGCCCCCCTATGTACTTCCAAGCCCCTTATTGCAGTTCACATGGCTAAACCTGTTTAACTAGCTTGTTATGACTGTTTTTGCTGAAAACAACCGTAACTCTGCAGTCCCACTGTTTTTGCTTTTTGTGCGCACACTGCACATCCATGCATATTCAGGATCTTCGCAGAAGATCCTGTGACACCCGTGACTCCGCCAATTTCACATTTCGTGCGCGCGCCTCCAACGTGTGCCCAGGGTCTGCGCAGCCTGTGACACATATCCGAATGAGCGAAGGTGGCGAAAGTGTGAGATCGAAGTAGCTCACATGCTTTCACTTTCTCCATCAGTTCAGTCGAGAAGCTCCCGTTGACCTCGTGCTCTTATCCCCGGTCAAGTCTTACGTTATCTTTCTCACCTCCTTCACCTTCTTCCACCACATATCTGACATTCTTCTTCCAAGATCCTCGAAGGCTCAGTTTTCACGATGGCTTCACACGCAGGTCTCAGCGCTGGCGGCGCTGCCAACGCCGACGTTCCCTACAGCACTCCTAGCCCTCCTCACCCTCAATACCAGGTCGGATGGATCGGTCTCGGCAACATGGGTAGCAAGATGGCAGCAAACATTGCCAAGCACATGCGTGAAATGTCGCCTCCCCTCCCACCTTTGCTCGTCTACAATCGTACCGTCTCCAAAGCTCAGGATCTCGAGAAGGAGCTCAATGGACTCGTAAAAGCCGTTGATTCGGTCGAACAGATCGGTACACGTTGCGATCTCATCTTCACTAGCTTGTCGAACGACGAAGCAGCCGAAGAGATTTACGAAGCTCTGATCCAAGCTGAAGAGAAGCGCGTTGGCAAGCATCTCCAAGAGCGTAACTCTAGCAATTTCTCCACTCTTTTCATCGAAACCAGCACACTTTACCCTGCTACGACTGGAAAATTGGAGCGCAAGATCTCAGCTTTGCCCAGACGTTACTTTATTGCAGCTCCTGCCTTTGGACCACCTCCCATGGCTGCTAGTGCCAAGTTGGTGTTTGCTGTCGCTGGACCATATAACTCGAAAAAGTTCGCTTCACAGTTCCTTGTCCCTGCTATGGGTCGTAAGATTATGGATTTTGGCAACAACCCCGAACGTGCTGCTTCGTTCAAGCTCATCGGTAACTCTGTCATCGTTTCCACCATCGAAATGCTTTCCGAGACCATGACGTTGGCCGATAAGACAGGTGTCGGAAGCGACCGACTCTATGAATTCCTCGAAGAGTTTTACCCTGCACCCTCTGCCTTGGGTTATGGCAAGAAGATTCTGGAAAGCAACTTCAAGGGCGAAAATGGCTTCACGTTGAATGGAGGTATCAAGGATGCATCGCACATTATCAAGTTGGGTGAATCGGTCGACTGCCCTTTGCCGATCATTGAGTTGGCTAGACAACATATGGTTTCTGCAAGGGCTATCGGTGGGGCTAATCTGGATTGGAGTAGTTTGAGTGCTGGTTTTAGGGTCACCGCCGGTGTGGAGCCGTTTGAGAAGAAGGAAATGTTGAAAAAGTGGAGTCAGGAGTAAAAGGATGGTGCTTCGGTTTAGGTCGACGCTTTCGAATGATGGTGCTTTCATCTGCTCATGTTGGTAATTCACTATGCTTTGTAATCCTTTCGTCATGGCCAAGGATGCAACTGCTCACAATCAAGTCATTGCAATCACAGAAGAACGGCAGCAATGGTCAATTGGTGTGGTATCGAAGGTGTTTGAATCATTGCAAAGATCTTTTGTCTCGTGACGAGCAAAAAGTGAAGAACGTGTGTGTGAAGATGTGCAGAAAAACTAACTAAACATGAGGAGAGGGATGCCAAAGTTACATGCGGGACCAGACCAGAACTATCTCAGCTGTGCAGAAGAGAGACGAAGACTTAGGTATCAGCCTGCATCGCCGTCCTTGGCTCTGGCACTAGTGCTGTTGCTACCTGTGAAGCTGCCGCGTTGGTATTCCACAACCTCTCCTTCGCCGCCACCTTAATGTCCCCATAAGCCTCATCCTGTTGCAGCTTAACGCAATCTTTTGTACCCAGCACCAACATCTCGAAAAAGAATCCGGCAGCAGCACGTCTCGAAGCGTTGTTGGAGATCTTCTGGAACGAAAGCTTCTTTTCTCCTGTCCCCTCGTCGATCTCTACGAATCGAGATTGTGTGGGTTCATCTTCCGTAGAAGCGGCAGCAGGGGTGGTGGAGAGTTGAGAACGAACAACGCGAAGGGCACGGACGGTGGATTTGGCCCACCCTTGTGTAGATGCTTCTGCGTCTTCGGATGCGCGGAGGACGGAGGCTGCTTCTTCGTTGGCAGCTGATTGTGATTCTTCTGCTGGTCGAACGTCGAATACTGCCAAAGGGTTGGAGGAGCTGACGGCGGGAGAGTCTAATCCTCCATCATCGATATCAGGTGTAGAGAGACGAGAGAGAGCAGGCAAACGACCGGTCTCGTTGGCTGCTTCTTCCGCCTCCAGCTCAGCACGAGACTTGCGAGTGGATCGTCGCAACCCATCATCGCCGAGATCAAGGCCCATAGAGGTGTCCATACCGGGCATGTCAAAGCCTTGATCACCGCCCATGCTAAAGTCAAAGCCGGTTTGATCGGTGTCCATGTCTCTGAACCCGAGCGATTCTCGGCCCTGCTGCGCGCGTCGACCGGTACCCATTTCAAAGTCGTCCTCGTCATCAGCACCTAGACGAGCACGCTTGTTGGATCCATCTTCTTCCGTGAGCGCTGCTGCACGACGACGTCGCATCGCACTCAGGTCGAAAGTGAACAGCTCGCTAAGCTCGGAAGCAAGTCCGTTGGGACCGATGAAGAGAGAGCCCTTGTCCTTGTTCGACGGGTCGGCGAATGGCATGAAGTGGGCAAAGGGGTCTTCGCGGATGCTGAGGAGTCGAAGGTAAGCACGTGAGCGAGGAAGGTATCGTTCTTCAGTGAGGATGTCTGCGAGGTTGGCGGCTTGACTGGCACTGCCCTGGCTGAGGCCTTGGCTGAGACCGCCGAGCTGGCTTTCGGGGAGTTCGGTGAGATCGTCGACAACCTGCTTTCGTGCTTTGGCTTGACGGGTTGCTGCTTCATCCTGTTGGCGCTGCTGAGCTGCGTCGCGGATACGAGCGGCTGTGGTGGGTGTCATGTCGGCCATTGCGAGTGCCATGCCGTTGTCGCCTGGAAGGGGAGTCACTGCTCGGTCGAGGTCCATAGGTGCGTTAAGTCCAAGGTCCAGACCGAGATCAAGACCTTCACCACCGAGGTCGAAGTCAGGAACGCCGATGCTAGGAGCTTGAGAGCCACCAGCTGAGCCTAGTGTGATGTCGTTGTCCATACCGAGGTTGAGCATGGATGCGACCGATTGACGGCCGGCCTCGCTTGGAGCGTCACGACCAACACCGATGCGGAGCGAATCATCTTCGGGCAGAGGATCACCATTCTCGTCAACAAGCTGACCTGCTTCATTTCTGCGCCCCTCGACATCGGGCAAGTCATCTTCAAGACCGAGATCAAGTCCACCATCAGGGTCAAAATCTTGTGAAGCGATGCCGTCGATGCCGGAAGAGACGTCAAAGGTGTCATCAAATGCGCTGTAGTCTACTGTAGGAAGTGTGATGTCGGATGCACGGGCAGTGTAGGCGGTGGGATTATCGGCGAGCTTCTTTGCCTTCTTGGCAGCAAGTCTTTCGAAATCGACGTCAAGGTCGTTCATGGCCTGGTCTGGGAGCAAAATGTCGAGGTCGGTGCGGATATCTGGCAAGGTGATGGCGTTTCGGGAGATGTTGAGCTGATCGCTGGTCATGTCGACGGCGCCGGAACGGAAAGCCATCTTGATCTTGAGCAGAGCTTCATTGCAGTCCTCGAGGAGATACTTGGCTTTGCGCGAATAGATGCGGACGACACCGAGCAAAAGCTGACCGGAGAGACGAAGTGCCATGGGGATAACCTCTTGACGGATGATGGCGCTGACACTCTTTTCGATGCTGGTTTGGAGGAACTGCGTTTTGCTGAGCTTGCGCTCCCAGTGCGCAGCGAGCCAGACTCTTGCGAGCGGCCCGCGCTTTGCGAGGATGACATCACTATAGAACATGGTGTAAACTAGGGAACGGCCGTCAAGGCGCTAGTCGTGGTGGTGACGGTGACGAGGGTGTTCGGACGGGATGCGAGGGTCGATGCGGCGGTCTGGATGAAGCTCGATTTGTCGTGATCCTTGCGATACAACTGTACGGATATCTATCTCAACTCTGTTGGTAGACAGACGAGCGATTGAGGACTGGCCTACGGCTCGACGGTGATGTTGGACGACGCTCCAGTCCTTGTCGAGGCAGCGAAACCGAGCCTAGTCAGGAAGTGGTGAGAAGAGCAGTGCCTCTGTCGGAACAGTCTGAATGTGTATGCGTATGGAAGAACGGGACGAGAATGATGGAGGGAAAGCTGCTGCGGATGGCGTCGAGCGAGGTGACGGATGGATGGATGGGTGGGAAGGCATCGGATGCGAAATGTTGAATGCGGAAGCTGCGCGACAACGCGAGAGTTGGCTGAGGCGTGTGCGCTCGCGTCGCCCCTCACCATCAATTTGCATTTTCAAGAAAAAGGAAAAGGGAAAAGAAGGGCTCAGCGCCTGCCTCCACTCTCACACACTCATCAAACTCTACGTGAACCCGATCTGTCCTCGATTTCGGGCTCAGTTCAGCCAGGTCAGTCACTCAACGCGACGGACGAGCTTCTCTCATTATTCTCGTGTTGCCGATTTGACCGACACCTCTTCTGTTCGGCGTTCCCGATGAGTAACTGATGCTGCTGATCTTGCAAGTCTTGCTTGCCGATCAAAGCTTTCGTGCTTATGTGCAAACCGTCAGCATGCTCAGTCTCAACCTCTCGAGCTTGGTCACGATGTGTGTTCATTGTCGCGGCATCTCCGAAAATCTTCTCACGGTTGGTGGTACAAGCTTTGAGTTCGTGTGAGTATCCAACGCCAACAGACGTTCTTGGCGGTACTTCCGAATTCCAAAGACATAATTGAAAGTTGGTGCGTGATCGAGATAAATGTGTGATGTATTGTTCATTGATGAAATGTTCGTGAGATAGGTTGCCTACAATCGCGCTAGGAATGATTACTTCAGACCCTCTGCACTCTTGCACGAGCATCCGAGGAGTGTCGCTCGCAACCCATCAGCATGGATCCGCTCGTATTGCCGCGTTGGGCCGCTCTGGGGACTCGTTCACCGGTCCTTGTCCTTGATGCAGAATGAGAGCGATCCTCACCAGCACTTGCGGTAGGGAAAGGACGGGTCAACATGGAAGGACGGGATGGGGTGCTTTCGACGCGGTTCCTCGACCTGCCCGACTCTCGGGAAGCAGAACTTGGTCCTGCTGCTGCAGATACGGTGCGTCGATGCGATGAGCTGGGCTGAGCTTCGGCTGGTCTCTCCCTTTGACGGCCGATGTCGTATGAGGTGCGAGCGTAGGGTGCAAGTGCAGTCGGTCCCGGTCGTCTTGTGCCTGGTGGTGCGTTGGACGAGTAATTCGTCGCTGGCCAGGGTTGACTATCGCCGGCTGGCACGATGATGACCCGGTCTGGTCCCGGCGCTCTGATGGCTTGGAAGGAATCACGACCAGACTCTGGTGCGAACGGGTAGACGCCCTCCTTGGCACGTCGGTCTTTGCTCGAGTACGAACGAGGCTGCTCTTTCCTGTTGTGCTGTGTCTCCGTCCGGTTACGCCCTTCAATGTCAGCATTCGAGGCAGCGCGTGAATGCTTCGGCTTCGTTGCCTTGGGAATCGGCCTGCTCTTCGGTGGTGGAGCGTGGAATGACTCTGAGCTGCTGCCGGCTGCTCCAAGATTGGGTTCGTCACTACCTTTGTGAAGCGAGCTCGTCGGTGTTCGGAATGCCACCTTTCGTGCTTGACGTTGAGTGGCCTTGCCTTCGTCTTGCCCGTCAAACACATCTCTCGCATCGACAAAGTTGCGGTCTGTCTTGGGCTGTCGCATGGAGGAAGCGCGGGGTCGAGGCTGTGTGTCTTCGCGGTTGTTTGCGTCTGGTCGCTCCGCCAGGGCTCCCGCATGTCGTCGAACGGCAGCCTCGAGGGCTGCGTTCTCACTTGTGTGTCTAGCTCGAGGCTCCCGTTTTGCAACCGTTCGTGTTCGGTCGGCTGTCATAGAGGATCTTGGTGGTGCGATGCCTCTCTTCGCAGCGAACGACGCTCTTCCTTGTTCCTGGGCTGAGATGATTGTTGACTCGACTCGGGCAGGCTTCGCAGGCCGAGCGTCGATCGATGGGCGTTTGGCTGCTTCAGTCTGTGTCTCTGTCTTGAGGTTGGCTGTGCCTCGACCCAGCAGCACCGAGAAGAAGCCCGGCGCTACTGCCTTGCCCTTGTCTTGAGTCATCGTCAGCGATGGCTGGATCGTTGCCGTTGCCGACATTGATTGGGCAGCTGTTGGTCGTTGCTGCGAGAGTCAAGGATAAGGGTACGGAGGAAACTACAAGAGGTTGTTGTGCTGGCCGCCCCCTCGATGAATGTTGACTGGAGTGAACTGGAGTTGGTGTTGATTAAGCTAGGATCAACTGCCTTGCTTCGGAGGGTTGCAATCGAGTCGAGGAGCGTGCTCCAAATTGACAGCTGCCAACGTCAGCTCGGAAGCTCAAGGCTCGAAACTAAGGAGTGAGGCTTGCTGACCGGGACTCAAGAAGTCGCCGATGGGAAGGTCTGCTTGTGCATGATCATTTGGCGGGGGAGGAAGGAAGTTGGTGCGAATCGAAGGCGCTCAAAAAAGGTGCACGAGATGGTCAGGGCTTTGCTTGGCGTTTCCGAATTACGATAGAAGAAGAACAAGAAGCTAACCTCAAAGATCAGGGCTCGAATAAGCTCGGATGTCGCTTGTCGACGAGCGACTCTTTCGCGCGCGATATCACACGGCCATTGCGAGCATCCATCTCTTGATTGTTAACAAAGAGGTATGCTTCAATACCATGTCCAGTCGACTAGACTTGCTTCGTGATAAGAACTTCCAACTTTGATCGTCAAGCCGGCGGCTTACCTCGCTGACCATTAAGAAGAGAGAATCGAAACGGCGATGAAACCAAGAACGGCAGATTATCATGTCTCGAATGCTTGAACATTCGCATGCAACGAGGCTTTTTAGCGTCGGACAGCGGCAAGGCTGCAGAGCGGGGAGACACAAGGCGGGGAGCCACCGCCGCGGGACAACATGAGAGCGCGACAAGAGACTGAGGAATGTGAGGCGAGCCAACTCAGTCGCGACAGTAAGTAGTTGCGAGGCGTCTGGATTCAAGCGGTTTCATCGAAGTCGGCTGCAAAGTGACGCATGTTTAGATGCAGCTCACTTCGATCTGCCTTGCGACCAGAGAGAGAGAGCGGATTCGAGTTAGCCTCTAATTTAAGATAACAATTAGTATACGGCATTATTGGGGCCACAATCAGGCTCCCTTACTACAGTCATATGCTTCTTGTAGTGCTTGGTATTTTTCATAGTGTGAACCTAAATGACAAATGCATATATATACCTTGCTGCCACTCTGATCACATTCGAGCAGAATGAGTCACTTCCCTCATACCCCTATGTTGCTGCTTCACAAGGTGCCCTATGAACTTGTCAGGGGTCTCGCGCCTGAAACCCAGGTCGGTCTGTCGAGATACTCGGTGACTATCAAACTGTGCGACAGCTATTGTCTTGGTATCGGTGACTATCAAGTTGTGCAGTGACAGCAGGTGGCATTCATTGTATATACTATCATAGGTTTCGGCTGACCTCTGTGGACACTCCATTCAGGGGTAGCTCAGCATGATCAATATCAATGCTTCAGTTATGATGACACCAAGGTCTGGTGTGAGTGTTGATGATGATGAGGTTGATGACGTTGGTGATAAGGTTGGTGTTGATGATAATGAGGGTGATGGTGTTGGTGATAAGGTTGGTGGTGTCAACACGAGTGTCCAGTGTGTTGACTTTGACACTTGAAGTGATCCCCAGACTGCAGTGGATTACTGCCTTTGGTTCTATCTATATCTGGACCACTAACCTGCTATGGGCACCTTCGGATGTCAGGTAGTGGTGATACAACACACACACTATGATGAGGAGCAACCTTGATAGATTGCTGCTATGCTGACTGAAACTAATGTATACTTATGCTGAAGTGATAACTAGTTATATGGTGAGTAGAGTGGATGAGGATCCACTTGACCTTTGATGATGAGAAAGCATGGTTATATACCTCTTCACAGCATCGCCAGCGATGCTGCTCCTGCTCTCTTCTCCAGAGAGTACCTTCTTCATCGAGTACTGTTCAGGGGCCTCTCCTACTTGGCACCCCTGTGCCTCTTGAGCTGTGTCAACTCCTTCGACACTGCTCCTCCTCCTTGCTACCCTGCTTGTTTGGCACCCTTGTGCCTCCTGAGTGATGTCGACTCCTTTGACACTGCTCCTCCTCCTCATGACCTGGTGTCGACTCCTTCGACACTGCTCCTTCTCCTTTGATCAGTGACAGTTCCTTTGGCTCTTGTCTCTTGAGCCCCTGAGTGGTAACCATCTGCATGCTCCTTGAGCTTGGTCCTCTTCGTGGCTGTGCCTGCTCCTTGAGCTTGGTCCTCCTCGTTGCTGTGCTTGGCCCTCCTTTGCATGTGAGTCCATAGGAGTCCATGGTCTCCATGGAGACTGCACTACAACCATGCTCTCTACTGGTATCGACTAGATCTTTGATACCTGTGCTCCTTCCATATGAACCAGTGACCCTCCTGCTTCTTGAGCATCCAGGCCCATGACAGAACTGTTGCTATGGCAACCTTCATATGTTTCATTGTGTTTCTCACTTATGCAGGCACTCAGTACTATGGTGTCTCAGCTGCAGCTCATGCATCCCTCTTGGGATGCCAATGCATCTTCAACTCCCCCTCTTGGCAGGATCTCCAGTCCTATCATCCTAGCTAATTGTGAAGTATTAAGACCCTGTAAAGGCTTCATTAAAATATCAGCAATGTTGTTTGCCATTCCAATGAATTCGATCGCCACATCACCTTCTTGCACATGGTCGCAAACAAAGTGATAACTGTCAGGGGTCTCGTGCCTGAAACCCAGGTCGGTCTGTCGAGATACTCGGTGACTATCAAACTGTGCGACAGCTATTGTCTTGGTATCAGTCTCGATGAGCTAGTTGCTCAGCAACTATCAAGTTGCATGATGGGTGGCATTCGGGTATATACTATCATAGGTTTCGGCTGACCTCTGTGGACACTCCATTCAGGGGTAGCTCAGCACAATCAATATCAATACATAGGTTGTGATGACACCAAGGTCTGGTGTGAGTGTTGATGATGATGAAGTTGATGGGGTTGGTGATAAGGTTGGTGAATGTCAATGATAATGAGGTTGATGGTGTTGGTGATGAGGTTGGTGATGTCAACACAAGTGTCCAGTGTGTTGACTGATGCTTGAGGTGATCCCCAGACTGCAGTGGACTACTGCCTTCGGTTCTATCTTGATCCAGACTGCTAACCTGCTATGGGGCGCCTTCAGACATCAGGTAGTGGTGATACAACACACACACTACAATGAGGAGCAACCTTGATAGATTGCTGCTATGCTGACTGAAACTAATATATACTTATGCTGAAGTGATAACTAGTTATGATGGTTGTGTAGAGTGGATGAGGATCCACTCGACCTTTGATGATGAGAAAGCATGGTTATATACCTCTTCACAGCATCACCAGCGATGCTGCTCCTGCTCTCTCTCCAGAGAGTACCTTCTTCATCGAGTACTGTTCAGGGGGCCTCTCCTGCTTGCTTGGCACCCCTGTGCCTCTTGAGCTGTGTCGACTCCTTCGATGCTGCTCCTCCTCCTTGCTATCCTGCTTGCTTGGCACCCTTGTGCCTCCTGAGTGGTGTCGACTCCTTCGACACTGCTCCTCCTCCTCAGGACCTTGTGTCGACTCCTTTGACTCTTGTTTCTTGAGCCCCTGAGTGGTAACCATCTGCATGCTCCTTGAGCTTGGTCCCCTTCATGGCTGTGCCTGCTCCTTGAGCTTGGTCCTCCTCGTGGCTGTGCCTGGCCTTCCTCGCATATGGCTCAGTGCTCCTTTGCATGTGAGTCCATAGGAGTCCATGGTCTCCATGGGGACTGCACTATGACCATGCTCTCTAATGGTATCAACTAGATCTTCGATACTTGTGCTCCTTCCATATGAACCAGTGACCCTCCTGCTTCTTGAGCATCCAGGCCCATGACAATAACATGTGTCGATGTGTTTTAACTTCCAGTGTTTAGCTGGGCCTTTACTTACCTGGATACATCCTTGACTATCTGTGTAGAGTGTTGGCTGGGCATCCATGATTTCCAAATCCTGAAGCAAGTATGAGAAGAATAATGCTTCTCATACTGCTTCAGAGGCTGTGACAAATTCTGCCTCAACTGCAGACAACACCACACATTTCTGGACATGAGACTTCCAGCTGACTGGACATCCATATATGTACATTATTGCTCCTGAGGTGCTTCTCCATCCATTCATGGGGTCTGACACCCAATTCACATTGGTGTACATCATTACTGGTTTATCTGCATGTTTGCCCAACCCTCCTCCTAAGTGCAATTGGTACCCACTCATCTGATTTAAGTACTTTACCATGTGAATTGCCACCTTCCATGCACTGTCAATCAGGCTCAACATGTATCGCACCAATGTACCCATGGCAAAGGCAATATCTGGTCAAGCAGTGTTGGAGACCCACAATAGTTGGACAACCAACTCTTGATACCTCTTCGCTTGTTGAGGGTTGCATTTCTTGCCTCCAGCGACATTCACCACACTCAACATAGGTATCCAGGATCTCTCGTTTGCTCCTCCTAACCATTTGTTTACCATTGCTTTGACATATGCCATTAAATCCAGGGATATCCTCCTCATTCTTCTGTCACATGTGATTTTGATACCCAGGAACTCCTTGATTTCCCCATTGTCTTCTGTTTCCCATTTGCCCATGATTTCTCATTTGGTGTGATTGACTTCATTATGACTGGGTAACATTATCAGCATGTCATCTACATATGCTGTAATAATTGTGATCTTGTTGCCTGTCCCTCTTGAGTATAAGCATGGTGCACTTGGCATACAGTGAAATCCAATCATCCAGAGATGTGAATCCAGTTCAATGTTCCATTCACAGCCCAATTGTTTCAGACCATACAGACCTTTCACTACCTTTAATGCTTTTCCAGGTGATACTTTGATTCCAATTGGGGGCTTGAGATATACATCATGGTGTATGGTAGAGTTCAAGTACACTTGTTTGACATCAATAGAATCTATTTCCCAATCTTGTACTGCTGTGATGGTGATCACCCCTTGAATGGATTCAATGGGCACTAC